GAGCTCCACGACCAGGAGAAATGCTTGGCGGTGGCGCACAAGGAAGCTGAAGACTGCGTCCCCTCGCCGCATGGTGCAGCGGCCCCACTTACCCCAGCGGCAGTTACCCCCAAGAGTGACAGTGCCTAAGCGAACGCGCTGCGGACTGTGTCCGCATGCTGCGCGAAGTGAGCTATATTGCGCGCTGCTGGAGTTGCGGCGCTTGCAGCACTCATCCCTGCAGGTATACTCGTTGTGTGAGCACACGCGTTGCGCAAGCAGATGCAGTTTTGACCGTTGCGATGTGCAAAAAGTGCCAGCTGCGTGACGTATGTCTTGTCGCTGCATGATCGCCAACTTTAGCTTTGAAGCACTTCACGGCTTGCGCTTTGAAAAAACAGAAGCAAATCGCGTCGTTTCGATTTTGCTCTGCACTGTTTCCGCCCGTTTTCACCGATGGCGCCGAAGAAGTCAGCAGCTGCAAAGGCCAAGACACAGCCTGCGGACGTGAAAAAAGAACAAAAAACAAAAGCGAGGCGCGCGGCGAAGTCAAAGGCAGCAGCGCTGCATGTCCCCAAGGTGAGTGAGGAGCTGTACAAGCGCCACAACGCTTTGTCATACCAGATCTGGAAAGGCGGGGATTCCTCCGACAGGCCTCGGCGACGCGGCGGGCACTGCGTGAGCCAGGGCGTCGCGAGGCCATCCTGAAGTCCTTTGCGGAGCACTCAAACGGCACTATGCTGCAATGGCTGCACACCTTCACGCAGCACACGATCTTCGAGACGTTGCAAAGTGCGGAGAAGAGAGGGCAGTGGTTCAGTCGTTGGCAAGTAGCCACAGCAGTGGGGAACCCGCCTGCTGCGCCTTCCGCGACGCCCATAATGAGACCCTGAAAGCCATGGGCGAGCCAGAGTACTGGTAGACGATGGACAGCTTGGTGGAGGCGGCGGCGGAAAAGGAGGCGCAAAGTGCTGTCGCGCACGCCAGTCACGTGGTTCAGCCGCCCAGTCACCAAGAATCGATGCAAACTCGCACGATGAAGCGCCTCGAGGGCAGCATTCGCCGCCTCAACAAGCTGAACGTATCGTCCCTGCGCTTGCGTGCTCGTGCGCCGGAAGACGGCGCTCTCGCGAAGAGCCGGCTTGACACTGAGACCACGATCAGCCGCTTGGTGTTCGACCACCAGAAATCACTCCATCGCGGCGAGCAGGACAAAGACTGCACGCAGTGGCTGGCCCAGCAGCTGGCGGATCTATCAGCGGCTGAGAAAGACATCGGAGACATGTTGAAGCACGGCGAGGAGACCTTGCGCCCTGCGCCGGACGCGGCGTCGAGGCCTCAGGCTTGTTGACGGGGCCGTAGGCCGCTTTGCCGCGCGTCCTGCAGTTCGCGTGTGCGGAGATCTAGATATCAGCGTAGACTCGTCCGTGCTGTCGCAGCAGAGGCGCGCTCAAGAGCGGATTAGCTTTATAGATCTGTTTGTATATCGCTTCTATAGCCCTGCGCGGCGCACGCGGCGGAACGCATCTATAAAGCGCTGGCTTTCGCGCATGAAAAAAGCTGTGCTTGGCGTCCATGCTTCATTTTGTTGCGCCGTGCATGTATGCGCACGCAGGCGTTTGGCTCACAGCACGCATGCAGCCCTCCCACGATGACCTTCTGCGTGTTTCCCCAGTCGGGCTGAACACCGCCGCGCTTGCTTGGGTTCCACTCTTCGCGAAGCGGGAGCCAGAGCTTCTGGAGGCTTAAATTTGCCCGAGGCGGCCGAGCTCCTGGCAGCGTATCCCATCGTCGCGCTGTTCGCGGAGAAGGTGACACAGGACATTTGCCGCAAGAGACCACTTCCCTTTTGAGAATGCGGGACATCTTGGGCATGTACCAGCGCTTGAAGCTTGGCGAGTTGCCGGTGAACGCCGAAAGCACTGCGACCTTCACCGCGGCCGTGCGTGCCCACCATGCAGCGCTGCGAGCCCGAGATCATGGTGCCGAAGCACCACTTTCTTCATCATCTCGGGCCGCAGATCTTGCGCGATGGCATGGTGCTGGACTGCTTCCCAGTTGAGCGCAAGCGCAGGCTACTCAAAGCTTACGCCTCGCACTTGCGCTCGGGCCCGGGGTTCAAGCGCGGCATCTTTGCCCGCAGCATTCTCGCATCCGCGCACATCGCGGTAGCTGCGCGGGAGGATGCTCTGTTGCGCGGCGAGGTTTTGTGCGACGAAGACAATGCGAACATGCTGGTGTCTCATCAGTTTTATTGGAAACAAGACCTCTACACGGCGGACGACGTTGTCCTGGCGCAGGGCGTCCTCGTGTCCCTGGTGCGCGGGCTACGCGTTGACGACCGCATGGCAGCTGTGGTGGTGCCGCTCGAGCTCCTGTCCAAGTCCGCGACTTTCTCAACGTGGCGTCAGCGGAGAGAGTGCGCCTCGCTCTTGGGTGGCAGCGGCGCGGCGACATTGTCGAGATCATCGCTTGGTGACACTGGCAAAGACTCAGCGCAGCAAAGCGCGGCTGTGTGGAAAAAGCCCCGCTCGCTTTTTCAGCGCGTGCCTAAATTTTTAAAAGTCATGCAAAAAAGCTAAGTTCACCTAAATTCCCTAAGTTCCTTAAGTAACTTAGGCTAGAACTTACTAGAACTTAGCGATAAGTCCTTATAAGTTCTATAGAACTTACACTAACATCTATCGTATCTTCCTTAAGTTGCTATAGAACTTGCGCGAAGTTGTATAGAGACTTGCGAAACTTACCTTACTTTGGATTATAAGTTAGGATGTAGAAGCAATAAGTTGGGTTATAAGTCTCTATAAAACATAGCCTAACCCCCACACATATACACTGACCTGCCTTTGGAGCCCTTCAAAACCTTGTGCTTTGCCGGGGCGGAGGCCTGAGTGTTCCCTTGCCGATTTTCCCCTTCTGCACAGAACGCTTGCCCTTGCCAGCATTCTTGCCGTAATCGTTGGCGTTGATGCCTGAACCTGCAAAGTCTGGGAAACAACCGCCAAGAGCCCAGACTGACCCTGCATTGGGAGCGAAGGGTGCTGCTCCTGCATCTTCGACAATGAAGTGGACATCTGAATAGGAATGACCTGATAAGGAGAATGGACCAACGGGTTGGCGTTTGCAAGGTCAAACGCCTTGTCATAGGCATGCCTGCGCGCATGGCCAGAGTGGTGTCTAGTACGCAAAGTACAGAGTGCAAAAACAGGTTTCCAGCTCCAGCTGTAAATTGCGACTCTGTAGTACAAGTCTAGTACGCAAAGTGCTCTAGCTGGAAAACCGCGACTTGGTAGTACCAGCTCTAGCAGGAGAATCGCAACTTTGAAGTACAAGTCTAGCGCGCGAAGTGTGCAGGTTTCCAGCACTAGCTGGAAAGTCACAACTTTGTAGTGCAAGTATAGTACGTGAAGTACAATTTTCCAGCTATGGCTGGAAGATCGCAACTTTGAAGTGCAAGTATGGTACGCGAAGTACAGGTTTTGAGCTCCAGCTCGAAAATCGCAACTTTGTAGTACAAGTCTAGTACGCAAAGTACAGGTTTCAGCTCTAGCTGGACAATCGCAGCTGTGTAGCGCAAGTCTAGTGCGCGAAGTACCAGCTCCGGCTGGAAAATCGCAACTTTGTAGTGCAAGTCTAGCGCGCGAAGCGCAGGTGCCCAGCTCAAGCTTGAAAATCGTAGCTTTGTAGCAACACGTGGAGCATGCGAAGTACAGTTTTACAAGCTGAAAAGCATAGTTTGCGCAGTAGGCTTGATTGCGAGCCCCATTGGCTTATACCGAAAAATGTTCTATCTAGTTATTTTCTTGGGCTTGCGCAAAGTGATGCGCATTCGGGTTCGTGGGCTCTGTCTTGTTTTTCTGAAAGGGTTGTCGCACACCCTTGATTTTGAGAAAAAGCTACGTTTGATGAGTGGAACAGCCAAAAACACTGCTATTTGCGGTTTTTTGAAGAGTTGCTAGCTTGTCTCTTGATGGCCGCGACATTCTGCCGGCTCGTGAGTCTAAAAAAACCCGTTGTATGTGTCAATGTCAGGCATGATCCCAGGTCTTTTGGACCTATCAAATTAGCTGCACCGCCGCTTGTAATTTGAATGGCAGGAGTGTTGCAGGAGCGCCGCGCAAGTCAAACATGGGGCCGCGCAAGTAAAGCGCAAGTGAAGCGCAAGTGACGCAATGATGATTCATCATCATCATCATCATCATCATCATCATCATCATCATCATCCGCATGGTCGAAAGAATCCGGAAGATTGCTAAATTTTCGCGCAAGTCGCGCGCAAGTCGCGCGCAAGTCGCGCGCAAGTCGTAGATGCCTTGGATCAGGAGTGGCCCATTTCTGTAGTTTGAATTTTCTTTGTTTCTGCAGATCCCAGCAATGAGTTGCAGCAGCAGCCAGCAGCAGCAGCAGCAGCAGCCAGCAGCAGCCAGCAGCCAGCAGCAGCAGCAGCAGCCAGCAGCAGCAGCAGCAGCCAGCAGCAGCAGCCGCAGCAGCAGCAGCCGCAGCAGCAGCCAGCAGCAGCCAGCAGCAGCCAGCAGCAGCAGCAGCAGCAGCAGCCAGCAGCAGCAGCAGCAGCAGCCAGCAGCAGCCAGCAGCAGCAGCAGCAGCCAGCAGCAGCAGCCAGCAACAATTTGCAGCGGTGCACACACCTGAGACCTCATACACTTAAGGGGCAGGTTTTTGGGGGACCTCACTCTTATGAAGACCGCCGCTTGGATTTGCAATGAAAACATCCTGGGATAAGAGTTTTAATACGGTTTTTTTTTCCAGCTCTCGTGGCGTTGTTGTCCTTGTCCTTGTCCCTGTCCCTTTCCCTGTCCCTGTCCTTGTCCTTGCCCTTGTCGTTGTCGTCGTTGTCGTCGTCGTCGTTGTTTGTCGTTTGTCGTTGTTTGTCGTTGATTGTCGTTGTTTGTCGTTGTTTGTTGTTGTTTGTTGTTGTTTGTTGTTTGTTGCTGCTGCTGCTGCTGTTGTTGTTGTTGGCACGGTCGAGTTCACGAGTGCATGGATTCCTTGACTTTTCTCAGGCTTGTGGGTGCGATGTCGGATTGGCGTCCAACTCCATCTATCAGAGCAGATGAAACATCTCAGAATATGGCAGGGCACACTCACATGACAACACAGCGTGTTCTTTTGACCTCTCCGGACATGTCGTGCCCGATTGCTGGACGTGGCTACTACGATACTCCGTGGGATCAAATCCAGGCGGAACACCAGGCTAAATCCCATGTCCAAGTTGCTGGTCCAATCAACTTCGACAAGACCAGACAGCAGGATGATCCGTTGATTGAGAAGGAACATGTTGTAGTACTCACCACCCACGATACTTCTTTTCGCAGGACCTGTTGCATCCTCTGGCAAGGATTGGTTTGCATTTGGAAAATGCAGATCTATGTTGCTTTGTTGTTCATCCGAACTTTCTGGGGC